GATCTACCCTGATTAAGATTAAGAGTGAACACATAGCCCATGGAGTGTTTTCACCGAGTACTTTCTTTTGGAAAACATGGTGAGAGGAACTAAGAGGCCATGGATCGTTATCCGAGATGAGGGGAATCAATTTAGGACTAGGAGAGGTACTATTATCTCTTTCAACATAGCATGGTGCTTGTGGAGTGCCATGTAGTATTGGAGGAGATGCGGGACTCTTCTGTCCCTTGGATTTTCGAGGCTAAGGATGGCAACAGGATGTGACATGACTTGGTCTAGCCAATATAGACTTTGTCAAGGAGTTCTATGCCCACGCTGATGGGTTGAACCCCTAGCAGGAGAGATTTTGAGCCTATGTGAGAGGTGTTTCATTCGAGGTCTATTCCACCACTGTCGTTGAGTTATTGGGTCTACCTCAGGCTCCACATGATGATGCATATAAGACTAGAGGAGAACAGTTGTCACCTATCACATCCAAATTTTTCCAGAAGAACTTGACTACTGGGTACAAACTCCTTAATTTGATCGTGGGTACATAAATCAATCAGTGACTTTACTGTACACAAAGCATACCTTCTTCATCCTATTAGTACAGAAGTGACTATAGATTTACTTATTTTGATTTGTCACACCTTTTGGTTCTTTGATCACTCAATTGTGTTCAAAGAACGGAGTCAGGTCTAGACCCCAAAATCAGATGCAGCCATCAAAGGATCCTATAGGCTCTACTTCTATATAATAGAACATCTCACACGTTCAGATTCTATTTTCCCTGCACGGGGAGAAGGACCCTGCACAGATTTGAGGGATGAGCTCACATACCTAGGGATCCACCTGCACCACACGCAATTCCACCACCTCGACCTTCTAAAGGTATTCCCGGTAGTTCTTCACCTCCACATTTAACAGTGCAAGTTTTTGCATAGAAAATTGCACATGGTAAGATTAACACTAATGACATAATTTAAAAAATGAGGCCTCATACTTGTATTTCCCCCCAATGATGTGTGATGTGTAAAGGTAATTTTGACAATGTTGATCATTTGATTCTACATTACCTTGTTGCTTTGAATTTATGGTTATCATATGTACAAAAAGGTGGGTTTGAGTTGGGTGAGTCCCGCAACATCCTCTTCCTTGTTTGTAGAAAATGTGAAAGGGTTTGGGAGACTTGATAGAGGTGTAACACTTTAGAATTGTGCTATTATCACTACTTTTAAGGTTATTTGGAAGGAGCGCAACACAAGAATTTTTAAAGATCGAAATGAGTGTGCGGTTGGATTATGGGATCATATTCATTTCTTAGCATTTTCTTTTGCTTTCAGTTTCAAAGACTTTCAAAGAATTCAGCTTTTTGTTATTCTAGCGAGATGGAGAGCTTCATGTGATTTATAGGCTTTATTTTTATGTTTTCTTTCGAAATCCTTAACTCTCTCCACTGATCTACTCAAAACATGGCCACAAAATGTAAAGAAAGGGAGAATCTTAGACCATGTCTAGAAACAACAAAATCTTCCCCGATTTTCCACCAAAAATAACAAAAAAATTAGTCTAGGACAAGCATCATGGTATCCACTTATACCTAAAATCTTTCCAATCCAAACCCATATCCAAAATCTCCGAATATAAATGATCTAGCTTTCTCAAAAACCAATTATATTTTATTGACTCTCAACAATCCTAAGATACTAAGATAGAAAAACCAGCTGCCCCGGAGATTTGTCATGACTACACTCAAAAAAAGCCACTTTAACTTCCTACATTTCAAATTATCGTTTAAGCCATCTAGATTTACTCTGCTCAATTGGACTTCAATCCAACCCTTCTAACCCAATTATACACACACCGTTTTTTGGTATAACACTGGAGGAAATAGAATAAAAAATCTCATTCATACTTTGACTTTCTTCCTCCAACTCTCTTCACTCTCCAACCTCAAGTATTTTTGTAAATTTCTTTTTCCTCGCCATTTGCAGCTCTGCAGAACATATTAGAATTGGTATCCCTTTCTTTTACTTATTTAATCTTTGTGTTTTATTTCCAATAAATCTCATCCCTCAAGAGTAAAGACCAGCTCCTAAAATTCATTCTAATGATTAATCTTTTCCCTTCAAAGCAATTTACTAAACCTCTCTCCATGATGAGATTTTATATTTTCCTAATATCTCCAAACACATCTTTATTCCATATTTTTATGTCTTTAGCCATCTTAAGCATTTTCATGAACTTGAATTATGTCCATCCTTGAACACTATACTTTTTCCACTATTTTCTTAAAACATTTTTTGAAAGAATTATGTTCCGACCACATTTCTAAATCTAAAATGTGTAGGTCCTCATCTAAATAGACAACTGTCCATAAACATTAAACAATGATTAGACATTGCTCTAGAAAATGCGTATTACCTCTGACCAAGAAAAAAGTACACCCACCCGTTCAAAAATAAGAACATATCTACTCTACTATTCATCGAATTTTCTTGAACATTGTATCACATAAACCTAGAATTTGGCAAAGGTGTTATACTCTTGAGTAAAATAATCTAAGTCTTTCAAACTTCTTGTGACCCTTTCACATCAAATATCTCTTACGACTCTACTAATATTAAAATCACCTCCAAGACACTAGTTATAAGCCACAACTACATAATTCTAATGAACTTGCCAACCCTGCCACAAAAATCTTTTAAACCTCTGTCTATTTTAACTATAAACCTCGGTCAACCACCACTCACTCTCATTCAAATTCTAAATTTAAAAGAAATTGAAAAATTCCTATTGCCACTTACATTCCTTTATTATTTTTCAAGGTCTCTCTCTCTCTAATCTTGGATCTTTTTTTCCATACCTCTTTTTTTGCCTTGTGGATTCAGAGCTTCTAAGGACTCTAGGGTTTTTCATATTTCTTTCCAAATCTCTACCCACTTCTCATGGATTCTGGGTTTTCCCTAATTTCTTCGTTCTTTCAAGAGTTCTCACACATATCCTTCTTTTTTTCCACTATTTTTTGTTCATTTTATTATTCTATCAACAAGAAATACAAAAAAAGCAATAAAATCACCAAAACCTTTAGTCATATGAGTGTTCGTTGAAAATTCTAAGACATAGCAAATTGGTTTGCACGTACCGTAATAGAAATAAAGTTGCCTAGTAGATCATTTCAAATTTTACCTCTTATATATCAAGGAGTAAAGTAAGTTGGTCGCATGATTACCACAATTCACTAAACCCTTAACTACGACCTAAGTACATGTACATCGATCCCAAACGAGGTGGGTTCCCGATCCAGATCACCAAAAAAAACAACTCAAATTATAATAGTAACCCTAAATCAATTCGTTTTAAAACATTTAGCACAAATATAAAATATATATATTAATTGACTACATGTATATAGATTTATTAATATATATTGTTTTAGATAATAGAAAATCAAGCACAACTATAAGATAAATGGTAACTAACTTAGTGTTTATGAATATTCTATAATATATAATGTTGTATAATAGTGAAAACGATCTATATAAGAGTTTAAAATGAATTGTAACCCAAAATACCGTACTAGCTAAACCTACTTACATCATACCGCGTATCGAAGAAATGGGCGTACCATGTACCTGTACCAGTACCACGTACCACGTACCAAAGTAACCCACGATCCAAGTAACATTGGTTGATAGCAAATGTTCATTCATATAGAAATTTTATCTTTTACTTGGATGCAATGTGTTCGATGAAATTGTCAAGAGTTGAGTTACATCAAACATCCAAGAGTTCCTATAAACCAATACAACTAAATGCCCAACCGTTTATCATGTTTCAATTCCAAGCAACCCGTCATTTTAAGCAAGCAAGTTACACCTAAAAATAGTCTTTATTATTTATTTAATAATTTCACATTTATTTATATTTTCATTTCAGCTTGATTATACAGATTTATTTATATTTTTGTAAGCTACATGAGTTAAATGTCTAACAACTAGTATTGATATAATGAGAGTTATTATGGTGAAATTAGTAAGCCATAAGTTGCATATTCTATCCTTATTGTGAGAATTGTTGGGTCGATTTAAGTGGTCATTGTGTTATGGATTTATTACGTGAATAAGTTACTAAGACAAAAATAATGATGAATTTTATAACATAAGGCAATGGACTAATTATTTTGGGCTAATAGTTACAACTTACATTCTCCTATAAATAGAAGTTCATCTAGCCCACTCTTGGATGTGGAAAAACAAGTACTCCCATGTTTTTCCCTCTATTTTACACTTTATTTATTAGGCAAAGAAAGGTGTATGTGTGAAACTTCTACTTCTTAAGATTGCGTAGACTAAGAGAAGTTACAGGGAGTAGTTTGGCAATTGTATCTTGGAGGCAGTGTCCTGTGACCTATGACACCAGAGAACAATTATCCATAGGGTGTGAACCGTCTTACAAAAAGCAACTTAATCCGTGCCTCAACCCAAGTTTAGTAGTATGAAATCTACCATTATCTCAAATTGAACGGTCATCAAGGAAAGTGAGACAATCCTTTCAATTTCATGGTTACATAATTTGCCAAATTGATGTTTATTTCTAATTATATTTGGATCTAGTTCCAACAATTTCCACTTAAACAAGCTGATCCAGTTACTCCCCAATATGGTATCATAATTCAAAAGTAGTTCTCAGTGGTGCAACACACCTGGTTTTCCTGGAAAATCTAGGTTCACTAGATATATGTCCAAAAAAGAAAAAAAAAATGAAAATCCATACCTTTACAGATGATTTAAGGTTTGTGGTTGGCCAGTTGCATTCACGTTCTCTGAGACCTAAACAAGAAAATGAGCACAAAATCAATACCAAGAAATTTCGGACAACCATGCAGTGCACACACTAACTCCTTATCCAGTGTATACGCACACACTGGCCCCTTAGTGCAAGCGAACACACATACCGGCCACTTATACAGCACACGCAAGTTTATATAAGCTATGATTTCAATTGCAAGCTGAAACTCAATGAGAAGCACCTTCTTCTGTTTCAGTAACTGTCTGTAACTTCCAATCGTGACCATAATCAACAAGAACCGAATTGGGGCCGAAGCTGACAGGTTCTTCCCCTCCTTTGACAGCTTCAATATGCGTGGCGAGTGGAACCCCAGATTCAAGCTTCCGGTTTATCAAATTCAAAGCAAAACCCGCATTGGTACCGGCCGCGAAACGCCTTGTCTTGCCTGAGCTTTTGCAGATCACCTCCATAAACTGCCCCATAATTTCGAATTGGAATCAAAATTTCATTCAAACTCAAGATAAACCCAAGAAATTATGTGCATAGTGTTTGAAATTGCTCAACAGGAGTCTTTTGCTCTATATGCATGTGTATATATGAAAACTCAAAATTCACAATAACCAAAAGAATTCAAAGTAGATTTGAGAAATCAAATCAAACCCATTAAACAAGAAAACTTGAATGCTTTGATGTGCACAGAGAGAGAAAGAAGGGAAGAGAATATACCGGCGCAGAGAATTGTGGAGGGTTTGAGAGGCAATGGTTGACTTTCGAAGCTTCGTCGGCTTCTGCCATGAGAGAGAGAGAGAGAGAAGGGGGGGGGGGGGGGGGGGGGAGCCAGGGTGG